ATAATAATAATAATAATAATAATAATAATAACATACAATCCTCATAACAACTCTTAAAAGTATTAATTGACTTACATAAAGAAAATTCAAAATAGAAGTTTAATTTAAGCCTAATATAATATAATATAGAATAATATAGAATAAAAGTCAAACAATGTAATAATAAGAATAGCTCAATAAAACTACAATAAACAACGGCTAAGAGTTTAAAATATATCGTTTTAACTTAAGTTTAAATGTATTTTCTATTTTGCAGTCCTGGAGCTCAATTGGTAAATTATTATAAAAATTAGGACAAAGATAACTAAATGCACGTTTAAAACATTCCAGATTGACTTTTTATAATTATAGCACTTACCTCCCCATTACTACACTGTTTACATTCAACATTAAAATTTTACTTTTATTTTCTCCTCTATCTGGATGTTTTTGGCAAAACTATTTGCTAAATAACAAAACAAACCTTAATCTTTATTTTTGATCTGCCCTCCTCTGATGACCTTTAAAGAGCTAATATATGATGTAAAATAATTAAAGGTTGTAAAATTGACTTCAACTACTACTAAAGTGTCCAAGAGCCAAACAAGTAAAAAATTTTAATTCTTGGCTGGTCGAAGTCATAGCCAACAGTGAGCTTGGGATGACTTAAGCCACCACTTCCCCCTCGTCCCTTCACCCTGGCGCAGAGAGTTATTAGGGGATTGAGCCGATGATCAGGGAATAAAAATCCAACTGAGGCTGCTGTGCATATCCTTGAATAAAAAGTAGTAGATCAGTCAGTACCTCCCATGAATTATGAAATTGTCATAAACTGTATGTTTCCGTCACCGTTTCTATAGACTTGATAACATTTACATACACAGATATTTAAATGATAATTCACCTACAACTTGTTTTATCAAAAGAAAACATACTTTAGAATAATAATGTAATAAATAATATCACTACATCATAATTAAAAATTAAGTAATGAATATTTTTTTTTATCAGTTGCACCATAAACTGGAAACTTACCAACACTAAATAATGGTATTTAAAGCACTAAACCAAGAAATTAAATCAGAAAAAATTCTACTTTTACTCTTATCAGTAGTCTCAGAAATTCGTAAGACTGTTAATTAGCTAGTTTTCAGGAGGTACAATAATTGACAGACATGACGCCCTCTTGGGATGAGAACAGACTAACAAAATGACATTATTTGCAACCTAACAATCTATAGTTATCACATAATGAATAGGTTAGGTCAATCTGGACCATTCTCTCCATCTGGACTAGTTAGACAAGTTACATACACTGAATCAGCATTTTCCTCTTTTCTGATATGTTCAGATAAATATTAGTCACTTGTGAATCACAGAATCCAACAGAGTATTTCTCACAAGGTTAGATCTACAATTTTACAACTGAGCGAACTAAAGAATTTGAGAGCTATCCCAAGGTTGAATCTGCAACTGAGTAAACTAAATCTAAATGCACATGACAATGCACGTGACCAAACAATGTTTTGAAAAAGAAAAACATTGTTTCATGTTTCTAAACTGCTTACGATAAGCAATTCCCTGTACACAACTCATGCTTACATGGTCCACCCATGCTGTTTCCATGGAGACCCTCATTTCAGTGTTAATCACAACATTAATCGTAAGCAAATACAGAGGGCAGGCTACTAATTTCAGAGAAATCTCAATATCAACATTGGAAATCAGTTTATAAGGGAATGTTTCCCCTGAGCCACAAGGTGTTTGTACCCTTAATAAATATGTATGTAAACTGTCAATGCTTTGTATTGTTTTGATATGTTATTACCTAGTTTAAGTAGTAAAAACCATATTTTAATATCAATCTACAGTATTTCAAAATACCTCAAAAGATGGACAAAATTAGTATATCATTATCTAAATTGTTTCTATAATTTAATTAATGAACAATCCAAACAATGTATGAGCCAAGATAATGCTGCTTGTGTAAAAAATTGTTTGGAAGATACCATTATTTACAAAAGGGGGTTTTTCGCTACCAATTTAGCAGTAAAGTCAACTGGACAATGAGGGCACTTCATTATTCTGGAGTTCACAAGAAATTGAATATATCTAGAGTACTAGCCTACCCTAGCCCAGTCCGGCCCAGCCTTGCCTAGCACAGCCCAGCCCAGCTATCACTCCATAAACAACTAATTGTTCATTCTAATCACCAAAAGGAGAATAGTGGTGGGCAAAAGCACCAATCAATCATCATTCATGTTAGCTTAAACCCTATGTTTGACAGGATCAAACAACTTACGAGGGTGGGCTTATAAGATGGCTTGCTCAACTACAACCAAGTAATACAAAGTAAAAACAGAACACAATAAATGATATACCATAAACATACTTCATTAATTCTTTTAAAGTTTATTATTGTTAATGCTCATTTGTAATAAAAGCAAACAACCTACACAACATGACTACAATACATAAACATGCTAAGTGGGAATTCAATAACAATATAAAAAACTAACACCAATTTTAAACTAATAATGTATCCAACATTGTGCATTATTATTTTATAGTTTTGATCGACTGTGAATCAATCAATCAATCAATCAAATAGTTATCATCAGTCATGTTTGAGTTTATCCTTGTTCAGATTAAAATAACTTGTCACAAAACACTAACATTAGAAGTTTAATTAAGAAATATATATACAGTCTAATTATTGGTTCTATTTAGTGAGGATGTGGGCATAAATAGAAGTGAAAAAACTTGAATAAAACGTTTCTACACAATAAAGAATTTTAGGAGGAAAAAAATAATGTTTTACTTTGGTCCATCACACTACATTCTAGGCTGACTAACAATTATATGGGCAGAAATTGTTGAATGAAATATAGCCAATACAAATGTTGAATGCATCATACGATGAATAAATGTCAGAAATACAATAATGCGATTTTTATTATTTTACATGATTTGTATGGTTTCTTGTTTATAGTTATGTTCTGTTATTTAAAAAATATTATGTATTTAACAGCAATATGAATTTCATTAATTCTAATTGTAAAATATTTACTTAATAAATAACGTTAATAAACAACAATCAAATAATAATAATAATAATAATAATAATAATAAATAATAATAATAACCAGTATCTTATTCTTAGAAATATTATGAATTTTTAAATATATTTCTTTAAATATTGAGCATTTGGTGTTGATTGTGAAAAGATTTAAGGTCACTGATCCGATTACCTATCAAGTTACAACCTGGTGGGTGACAGGAAGTTTCCACGACAGTTCAGGCTGTAAATTGACAATGATATCAAGCCAGATATACCAGACAATTAACACATGCAATTACACCACTACAATCAGTGGTGTATTAGCATTTTAAAAATTGTTATGTAGTTTATATTAATATAGAGCTTTACACAATCAGTAGATAGTAGCTGCACTACTTCTATTAAATAAAGGAGCATCTTGTATCATCATCATCGGCTTTGCACAATCAGTAGATAGTAGTTACGCACAAATGAACTTTCAATATACAATAAAGTGGAAATGTACTTCATTAGAGAAATGGCAGCGTTTATCTTTGAAAAATAATCTACCGATGCATGTCTATTGTAAACTAATCCAATATCCCTCACGCTGCAAAAAATAGAAGAAGTGAAGGCTTGTGTGTCACATATTAAAAATAAAAGTTACTTCACATTTTCCATTGATCACGTGATCAAACATATTTCCTTGCTAATTCAATTGTGTGTGGTCTTCATCTTCGTCGTGGTTATGTGGCATCCAAGAAGTATTACGATTCATAAAACAATATTATTCCATTAAATAAAGGAGCATCTTGTATCATCCTCATTGGTTTACTCTTGAATTCAATATAATTTTAAGAGTGTCTCTTTACATCAAGGATACTGTGCATTAGGTCCTTTCCATGCTACTTAGTATTAAATTTGAGTCATTTTTCACACATAATAGGCATTATGATGTAATATCACACTCGTATCTCACAAATCACAGGTATTTATCAACAGGTATTGTTGCCAGGGTTTAAGGGGCAGGAACTCTTTTTTCTGCATCTCATATAAATTAATCTTATGTCCATGCCGCCTCCATAATATACGCACAGTTAATAAGATGAAAATCTCAGGAAAACAAAAGTCGGAGAATGTCTGGATATACGATAAACCAGCAGTGCTAGAATATCAACTATTCCCAAAAAAAAAAGGATCAGTGCAAGAAACACAGATTAAACATCAAACAAATTCTATTGAATACCAATAAAAGTTTAATGTAGTAAAACATTCACTGGCCTGACTGTGTTGGCATAAAATACAAAGCTGGGGGTTGGTTAGCGTGCTCCGGTGGGGGACAGAGGTGCATCAGGATACTGGGTGAGGTCAACACTCAATGTATTGCTGATTGTGCATTCACCTTGCTGTAATAAGACAAAATGGGAAAATTATTTGAATGATATAATAATAATAACAATAATAATAATAAAAATATTAACAATCTACTTATATAGCGCATAATGCCAAAAGCTTCTATGCACATAATGTTACTTATTAGAATATGAACTTTTAATTAGCAAGTTATTTAAAATTTTGATGTCTTGTTTATTCATTATTACTTTATTTAACTGAAGCATATTTTTTGTGGAATTTGTGCTTTACAAGTCCACATTCGTTAATTTCCCAACATCAAGATACTGAGACAAGATACTGACCTCTGGGAAAATACCAATGAGAGCATCGGAACGGTTGTAGAACTCTTCTTTAAGTGAGATGACGACACACTGGAAGTGGCCATGTGACTGCTCCATGATAAAGTCCGCCACCTTGCCGATGTTAGTGTTGTCCAAGGCAGCATCAATCTCATCAAGCACAAAGAATGGAGCTGGTTTGAAGCTGAATGAAAATTAGTTTTTAATAAAGTATCTTTATATATTCATTCAACTTTAAAGTCAAAGTTCAAGGAAATACCAAAGAGTGGACTTTCTTAAGTGGCAAGTCCCATTATATAATAAATAATAATTTTAAATTGCTTATAGCACAAATTATATATAATGTTAAAATAAAATGCACTTAAAACTGAAAATTATGATGTTTCCTTAAAAAGTAATGTTCTGATGTTAGCTTTGAAAGCGGATATTGTCGACTTAGTCCTATTATGATGAAGTGGAGTTGTTTGTGGTCATGTGAAAAAAAACCTGTTACCATGACATAAATTGAGCACATATATAAACAAGCATCTTGACCACTTTGTAGCATGATTTTTTTATAAATATATTTAAACATTAAAACACAACAAAAGAATCAATGATAACTACAGATCACTAGCCTAATGCAGACAAATTACAATGTACACTATGAAGCAAAATAAGACTGATGGATACTGAAGCCTACTAACCTATGGATAGCAAATAAGAGTGCGAGGGCAGCAACAGTTTTTTCTCCACCAGACAAGTTGTCCATTGGCCTGAAGCGTTTGCCTGGAGCCACACAATTATAATTCAAGCCATCCAAGTATGGCTCTTCTGGATTCTCTGGCCCTAAGAATGCCTGTGCACTCTGATTTCTGGACAGAGCCTAGACAAAGTAACAAAAGTTGTTTATGAATGGAAAACAAGGTAGTAATTATTTGTTGTTTATGTGTACATACTTGTTTTATGTCCTAATAATATAACAACAACGACGTCAATCTTGAATAGAAATTTCTGCAGAAAAAAGCCTCAATGCTTACAACTACAACAAGCTATAAATAATTTTTAGTAAAACTACTTAAAATAAAAACAGTTCAGATAATTTATCATACTTTGGTATGCTCATATAAATGTAAGTCCCACAAACAAGTACACTAATATATATTCTTACGAAATGATGTTTGCCCTACCTGTTAATAAGTACTGAATGCTCAGCGCATTTCCAAATGCTTGCGAAAAACAGTTTCGCAAGAGATTCGGGTGGGAATCGAACCCACGACCTCCAGATAACTAGCCTGATGTCTTAATACTGAGCAGTCAGTACTTATTAAGGGGTCACCCATAATTATCAACATTTTCAAAAGAGTACAAAACATACACTTTAGGAGGGGGTTGAAGTGTTGGCATAAGTACTCTTTTATGAAAAACATAACATGTTGATCTTAAAATGACACAAATCAACATTTTATTGTGTACTCTTTTGGGGGGGAGGAAGGGGGTCACAGATAAGAGTATGTTTTGTACTCTTTTGAAAATGTTGGAAAATTATGGATGACTCCTAACATGTCAGGTAGTTCAAACATCATTTCGTATTATTTCTCCTGACAAAAATATGCCATTGGAATACATATTCTTGTTATTTACATTTGATTCCATATGAAAGGGCCCCAAATCGACAATGATTTAGTTTACTCTTGGGTGTCCCTTTGAAGTTATATGTTACCATATATTATTGTTATAATTATGTTTTGAAGACAAATATATAAAATATAATAAAACAAATTGAAATAAATTTTCTTGAAATCAAAAAATGAAATATATGTGAACCATCTCTGACCTTGTAAATCTCATCAATACGAGTAGATACATGTTCAAAACATGTGTTGAACCGGTCGTAACGCTCTTTTTTAATCATTTCAAAATTCTGCTTTGCTTTTTTTGCACGTTTTCTCGCAGCTTCAAATTCTTCGGCTGTGTGCTGGAAACGTTCTCTCACACCGTCTAATCTGTGAAAGCAAATTTATTTAATAAAATACACACTTTGATTGGTTGAAAGTTACTGGACAAGATACACTCAAAAAAATTCTGATTAATTGAAACCTAAAGAATGAGATATATTTACTCCTTCAAATGCCAGCATTTTAAAAAACAAATATGTAACGAAAAAATATTTTGATAAAATGCTGGCAGATAAGATAGCAGGTCTTAATTCTGTTAGTCAGTGTTTTATAATGACACTCATACAATTAAATTAGATTTAGCCTGTTCTTGGAAAACATCTGAAGTATAAATTACCTCTTTGAGTTCATCTCGAAGGTATTTGTAGTTGAGCACAATGTTTGCTTCCTTGGCATAGATGGTTCGAGCCCCTTGACTACTCATGCTGTCCAGACCGGTGGATGTATCGTCCTGCTGACTGGATGACTACAGAAAAATAATGTAAATAGTGAAGTTAAGACTCAACCTTATGTGTAGTCCTTAGATAGGTAATTAGCAGATCTTTTGTAGGCTGTATTTGGAGGGCATCTTTGGAAGGGGCTTTGGCAGGACCTATTTGGCAGGGAAAGTTTCTGGTAGGAAGATTTCTGGCAATTCTTAATCACAATACCCATTATGTATGAATAAGCATCATATAGTTGAAAATCAATTATATTTTTTATTTAATCTAATATTATATACGCAAATTAATTGCTTACATCTGCTTCTTCCGTGATGTCATCCATGGCGCCTCTACGCATAGGTAATTTGATGTCTTCCATCTTGCACGCCTTTAGTAGACCTGTCTCTTATACACATCTAGATGTGTATAAGAGACAGCAAAAGTTGTTTATGAATGGAAAACAAGGTAGTAATTATTTGCTGTTTATGTGTATGTAATTATTTTATGTCATAATAATATAACAACAACGACGTCACTCTTAAATAGAAATTTCTGCAGAAAAAAGCCCCAATGCTTACAACTACAACAAGCTATGAATAATTTTTACTTAAACTACTTAAAATAAAAACAGTTCAGATAATTTATCATACTTTGGTATGCTCATATAAAAGTCCCACAAACAAGTACACTATTAAGAATATATATTATTATGAAATGACCTGTTAATAGGTACAGAATGCTCAGCGCATTTCCAAATGCTTGCGAAAAACAGTTTCACAAGAGATTCAGGTGGGAGTCGAACTCACAACCTCCAAATAACTAGCCTGATGTCTTAATACTGAGCATTCAGTACTAATTAAGGGGTGCATCCATAATTATCAACATTTTCAAAAGAGTACAAAACATACACTTTAGGAGGGGGTTGAAGTGTTGCCGTAAGTACTCTTTTATGAAAAACATGAAATGTTGATCTCAAAATGACACATATCAACATTTTATTGTGTACTCTTTCGGGGGGAGGGAGGGGGTAACAGATAAGAGTATGTTTTGTACTCTTTTGAAAATGTTGGAAAATTATGGATGACCCCTAACATGACAGGTAGGGCAAACATCATTTTGTATTATTTCTTCTGACAAAAATACACCATCGGATACATATTCTTGCTATTTACATTTGACTCCATATGAAATGGGGGTTTTTGGGTGTCCCTTGTTTTGAATTATATGTTACCATATATTATTGTTATAATTATGTTCTGAGACAAATAAATTAAATATAATATCACAAAATGAAATAAATTTTCTTGAAATCAAAGAAATGAAATATATGTGAACCATCACTGACCTTGTAAATCTCATCAATACGAGTAGATACGTGTTCAAAACATGTGTTGAACCGGTCGTAACGCTCTTTCTTAATCATTTCAAAATTCTGCTTTGCTTTCTTTGCACGTTTTCTTGCAGCTTCAAATTCTTCGGCTGTGTGCTGGAAACGTTCTCTCACACCGTCTAATCTGTGAAAGCAAATTTATTTAATAAAATACACACTTTGATTGGTTGAAAGTTACTGGACAAGATACACTCAAAAAAATTCTGATTAATTGAAACCTAAAGAATGAGATATATTTACTCCTTCAAATGCCAGCATTTTAAAAAAGAAATACGTAACAAAAATATTTTGACAAAATGCTGGCAGATAAGATAGCAGGTCTTAATTCTGTAACAACATCCAAAAGTTAATACTCTAGCCTTTCCCAATGCTTTCATTTGTTGTTTATATTCCTCTCTGGATTGATTTTGATTGGCTCAGGATGGGAGACATTGAAATATAATTTGATTGGTTGAAAATCTCAACTTACTTTTGAACAGCCTTCATATTAGGAGCAGCGATGCGCTGTAAGGTAGCCTGCATGTTGGTGACCTCGGCCGTCAGTTTCTCGCCCATTTCACGCACCTCTTCATGAGTATCAAGCTGAAAGACATATGACATTTTTTCCTTCAAAACAATTTATAGTTCAGGCAGAAATACAAATGGATCAGTGAAGAAAAAATCTTTACAGTTCTCCGCCACCTGTTGTCCCAGGTTAATGGTTTTCTAGTTTGTAGTTAGTTAGTAAAGTTCTAAAGCTTAGTTTCCTTGAAGTGGTGATCCTAAAGGTCATATCTAGGTAGGGGTGGGGGTCAAGTTGTTAAAATGCACCTAAAATCACCTTTGCCAGTTAGCGCTGATCATCGATACCCCCTTCACTTTCGCACCTCCCATTAATACCCCCATTCAAGACTTCCAGATAAGCCACTGCCTGTATGTGCAGTTTCTGACTGCAACTATACAATTTATCAGTTATATACAGAATGTATACATATTCAAGAGGCATACAAAGATGAGTGTTGATTATCTTGACAGCCACATAGAGTGTATATATTTAACTATTGTGTTAGTCAGTGTTTTATAATGACACTCATACAATTAAATTAGATTTAGCCTGTTCTTGGAAAACATCTGAAGTATAAATTACCTCTTTGAGTTCATCTCGAAGGTATTTGTAGTTGAGCACAATGTTTGCTTCCTTGGCATAGATGGTTCGAGCCCCTTGACTACTCATGCTGTCCAGACCGGTGGATGTATCGTCCTGCTGACTGGATGACTACAGAAAAATAATGTAAATAGTGAAGTTAAGACTCAACCTTATGTGTAGTCCTTAGATAGGTAATTAGCAGATCTTTTGTAGGCTGTATTTGGAGGGCATCTTTGGAAGGGGCTTTGGCAGGACCTATTTGGCAGGGAAAGTTTCTGGTAGGAAGATTTCTGGCAATTCTTAATCACAATACCCATTATGTATGAATAAGCATCATATAGTTGAAAATCAATTATATTTTTTATTTAATCTAATATTATATACGCAAATTAATTGCTTACATCTGCTTCTTCCGTGATGTCATCCATGGCGCCTCTACGCATAGGTAATTTGATGTCTTCCATCTTGCACGCCTTTAGTAGACTGTGTCGATCTGCTCTCTTTTGCTCTAGCTTAGTTTCTGTGGCAGTTATCTGTTTCTGAATAGCTGTTGTAAATGGATGAAACATTCAAAATATTAAAGTAAACACAACTAGTAAAACAACAGCCACAAAAGTTGGTTTTTCAAAGTTGATATGATTATGAGGTTCAATCAGAACACTGCAGAGTCATCGTGAACTAGGGTAATTAAGCTCAGGTGGCTACTTAATTCAGCAAACTCTATTTCAGGACTTTGCCCCCCTTGCTTATAGTCTAAATATGGTCATACCATCATATTATGACCATATATAGGCACATCATCACAATATATGGGCAAACAACATTTTCAAATGCCAACTTCACCTGCAATCTCTTTGTTACACTGAGCCATCTTCTTTCTTATCTCTTCTACTTCAGAATTTTTATCTTCTATTTGAGATTTCTTGGTCGTTTTTGAAAACTTGAGCTTAGTCATTGACTCAGATTCTTCATCAATAAGCTGAAATTAAATGATTATATCATTTTTAAATTTCAAATTCTATGAAAACAGTACTGTACTGTATTGTAACAATTATTTTGAGTCCAATCCTGAAAACATCAAGTTTTTTATCACTACTAAAACAAACTCTTTTGATTTAAGCAAGCTTGTAGAGTACAAAAAAGTTCATGCAGTTGGCCTTTTATCACAGCTAAAACTAAAATCTTTATTAAACCTTGTTGTAAAACTTTTCGTACCAAATTGGACATGAAACCCCAACACTGTTTATTAATTCGCAAGTCAGTTTATATGTTTTGTATGTATTTTTTCCTTGAGGTTGAAATACGCAGATCAGAGGCAACAATTACATTAACTAGGGGCAGATCCAGTAGGGAGCACATACCCCGCCTCTTTTGCCACTAAATTTTAAAATTTCAAGGCATATATTGAAATTAGCAGTCTCACTGATATATTCTGAATATGTTGTTTCCCCTCACAAATTTGAAAAATTCTGGATCTGCCCCTGCTAACTGTGCCAAATTACCTTCATTTGTTTGGCTTCTTCTTTCTTGAGTTTCTCGAGTTCTTTTTCATCATGGGCAACTTGTTTTGTCCATCTTACAACAGCGTCTGAAGAAGACATACAAAAGATAAATTAAAATAAATTGTTTAAACAATTAAGAGCATCTAAGTACATAATCATAGATTTAAATTATATTAACAAATAAATAAACAGCAGCACCAAAACAAATACTACCAAATAAATTCCACTTTCAATTAACTCAAGCATAAAAATTTAAAAATATACAATTACATTACTAATTCTAAGTGGGTCAGCTATTTAGGACCCCTAACTAAAATATACAAAATCAAGTCTAATAGCTTGTTTATTGCGGTTGATGATAGAACTGCGCTCGGCTTTACCTTCTGTGTTTCTGGACTTCTCATAATCCAGCTGATTTTTCAGCCTGGACACTTGGTTCTCAAACTCTAACCTCTTCTTAGCCCTCTCTTGCTGGGCTTTTAGTTCTTTCTCCTCGTACTGGCGGATGTTCTCAACCCCAATGGAGGCACAAAATTCAGCGAACACTTCATCCTCCACAAAGTTCATTTGTGTTTTCTTGGCATTTATAGATTCGGTACGTTCAGCAATTTGCTCCTCAATCGCTTCAATACGAGGCTAGAGAAATAGTTCACATGTTTACACTTAGTACCATGAACATGACTGGCAACTACTCTAAACTACAGAAATCAGCAGTTATGCATACTTGATATTATTAACTTTAAAGCTCTATCCACTCTATCAAATTTTCTTTAACAAAAAATGTGACATGCCCATATATAGTAATGCTATGCCTATATATGGTCATGGTGTGATGTCATCATGCCCATATATGGGCATATCACACTTTTTTGTCACACAAAATTTGATAGTGTAGACAGAGCTTTAGTAGTGATATTATCAAAATAATATGATGATTGAAGGCATTTCTTAAAACAGAAAAATAGACAATATGAATGAATTTACCCCAAATCCTTCCAGTTCCTGGAAGAACTTTTGTTTGGTTTTCTCATTATTAGTCAAGATCTTTCTTTGCTGTAAAGAAAAAGGAAAATATCATTAGTAACAGAAGAAAATAAATAATAAATATAAATGTTTCTATCAATTACATTTGTCTGTAGAAGAATGGCTCAGATGGTGGTTGCTACTGCATGTGCCTTGAACTTGGGAGATCCTGTAAGATGCAATGGTTGCTAGTTTATTAGTGCAGTCTTTAAAATGCCTTTAATCTGTTGGACTTGTGGGCCCATCCACATGTTAGAATACAACACTCTTCAGAGCAGGTGTGGAGTACTGCTTGCTTGACCTTAGTGTGTGTCACACCAAATAACATCAGCCAAAATCAATCAATCAATCAATCAATCAATCAATCAATCAATCAATCAATCGTTAATTTAGTTTAGCTGAATTCTCACCGTATTATCTCTGTCATTGATTGAGTACTTAAGACGTGACTCAAGACCATTGATCTGAGACTTAATGTTATTAAGTTCAGATTCTTTTCTTTGTTTCTTTTGCACTTCCTTCAACTCCTCTGTCAATTCAACTTTCCTCGACTTCAGAGTGTTCAGTGATTTTTCATCCCATCTTCGTGCTTTTGCCTTCAAATCACTTAAATTTAAAAACAAATTGTACTCAAAATTTAGAACTACACAGAAAAATTTATCTATTGTATTTATAATTAAATTATTAATTAATAATAATTTATTTGGCAAAATTGCTTGATTATTTAATATTTATTTGATTAAGTATATAGTATTTTTTAAAAGACCACCACATACCTAGCACCACCTGAGATGATTCCAGATTTCTGGAACATGGTTCCATCAAGAGCAACAGCCTTGTGACGCTCGGTCCCACCAAAAGCAATCTTGCGAGCATCTTCTACGGTCTCACAGACCAGAGCATTACCACAAGCATACTGCAACGCTTTCTTGATATTCGGAGGATCATATCTGATGACATCAATTACAAGCTTCACACCTCGTGGATCACGGATTTCTCTGCGAGAAAAGAATGTTTCACACAATGACTACAGCATCTTTTGTTTTTATTACATACATTATTCATTCATACAACTAATTATATAGCAGTTAATAATACCATACACAGTCGTTTGGAAAGTCCTTTATAATATATAATGATTTTTTTGAGGAATAAGGATGATTATGGATTTATTCGGTGTAAACACTAAGGATAGATCACGAAAGTCTAGAAGAAGACTTATTTCCAGTGGGGTCCTTCTGGTGGTGATTGGGCAGTACACAGGGAGACAATGCCCTACTTGTTTCTGAAGAGTGTACTCCGTTCTTTAACGTGCAAATGGGCCATAAATGCTCATGGGCCCAACGGCTTAAACGTCTCATCCAAAAGACGGTACGCTATTGCAACCTCCAGCTGAAACACAAGGGGAGGAAGCAATTGGAATTGAACCCCTTCGCTTTCTCTCCTTGAGACTATCCTGCTGAAAAATACAAACAGACCACTAGGGCTCAAGACATGTTAGGATTACCAAGGTCCAGCAGACACAATGGCTACCACAGATTTAGCTAACTAAGCTAAGCTCCTCTATCAGAAAGAGTATTCTACAAACAAGGTGCTTAGTGGTTTTCCTGGATGGCAGGATCTCTGCTTGCATATTCTGACATACCTTAGCTTTTCATTCGTTGCTCTGACTTCAATGAAATCCAGTGGCAGGAATGTCTCTGGGTCTGCTCTCTGCTCCTTCATGTACTGGATACAGTCTCTTGCTGTCTTCTCTGTGTCCACAATCATAGCATCCATGTTCTTGGCCAACACTTTGGTGATGGCCACTTGGTACTTCTTCTGACTTGGCTCACACAGGTCAATTAATCGGCCATACTGTGTAGGATAAAGAATCAATCAATCAGCAATAATTATATGTATACATTTGTAAACAAAGAATTTTGATGGAATATTAATAATAATGTATTAGTCTAATTCCATTTTAATATTTGAGGACTTGTTTAAATATCCAACAATTGTCTGAGACCTTGTAAATGAACATCCATTTGGACTGCAAATAAATTTTGTAACAAATAATAAAGAATGATACTAACCACTCCTGGGAATAACCTCTTCAAATTCTCAGTCAACTCTGCTTTTTTGTTTTTGCGGACACTCTCGTGTTTATCGACTTTGGCTTCTCCTAGCTGTTCTACAATTGTTGTCAATTCCTGGTTGATCTCCTTAAGGCGGTTATTCCCTGTCATCACTTCTTGTTCCAAGGTTTCCTTGAGGCGCAGTTGATCTGCCACTGACTGTTCACTTGTCCTGCAAAAATAAATTCAGAGATTTATTATGGAATGTTTTCATATTTTATTGAGTTCGGCAACACAAGACAAATAAATACAAGGTAGATTGGTGAGCTTGGGAGTTACAAAAGTGTTCAAAGAACATCGTTGTTATTAGGACGTGCTACTCTATCACAAAAATGTGCAAGTCCGTCATGAAAACTTGCTACTCTGTCACCAAATAATATGCCAAACATAACATGTGTTTCCCAAAATGCAGCTGTTGTCAAATGAACATGAATTTTTTAAACTTAAAATTTTAGGGATTGAAATGCAAGCACTTTATTTTCAAATCAGCAAGCACCTTGGCTATTTTCATGAATTTTTTGTGAGTCATAAATAATTCAGATAAAGAGCAATACTGTATTTCATTTCATACCGAATATATTCATTGAGTTTCTCAAGTCGTTTATGGTTCTCCTCCATCTCATGTTCTTTCTGCTTGATCTTAGCCTGCAGCTCACTGCGGCGGTGTTTTTCGCTATCTAAACGGTCCTGGTCGGATTTCTGGTTCCGATTCAGTTTTTCAAGTTCCTGGAGCAGTTGAGCGGCCTTTATACCAGCTTTTTTCTTGAGGCTGTGGTATTCTGTAACCTGATATTTCAATTTAATACTTTTTATGCTATTTTCCCCTTGACTGTTCATATTCATTATATATACAACTATGAACATGTGAACCAAAAAAAAAAAAATCTTTGAAAAAACAAGGTATCATATTCAGATACACAAAAAATCTGCATATTAATATAATCTTTAGTCAACACACTTGACTTATAGAGGTCTCCCTCTAATTAAAGAGCCCTCCAATTAGTGACCACCTAAAATTAAAGACCACATTTCTGCAGCTCTAATTAAGACAATTCTTTATCGACTTGAAAGATACTTTTCTAATTAGAGACCAAAAACTGCTAAAGACGAGGAAAAACCCAGTCCCAAAAGTGGATTTTACTTCAGGGAGACCTGTATATTTATTACATTTTTAAATATATATTTCACATAAACCAGCAAGTACAGTCGTTGATTAAAGAATGTAATCATGTGATGCTCTAATAACTAATTATACCTGTGACTCCTCAAGGGTGAGATCTCTGCCTTGGCTTTGGCTCTCCTCCTCCAGTCGCTCCTCCCACTCTTCCCTTGTCTTCTCAACTCCGCTAAGTTCCTGCTCAAGCTGCTGGATCTCATTAGAGTGAGTGTCATGTGCTTTCTTCGCACTTTTCAATGACTTTCTGTTATGAAAAACCAAGAAATTATGAGTTAACTGAACTTTTTCTAAGTGCCTCCAGTGAGATGCACAATGACTTCAGTTATTTTTAATAAATTTTATTCTAGTGTGATAAATTAACATTTTTTAATTAGAGAATGTTGAATTTATTTATGTATACCTTAATTCAACATAAAGTTGCTGATGGTTTTTTTTTTGTTTGAAATAGTGTTCAGGGAGACCAACTTCGATAGTAATTCAGTTTACTTTTTTTGGAATCCCTTCTTTAATTGTAATTTTTGTTTTGTTTGTTGAAATTGTTTTATGAGAGAAAATAAATAAAATGAAACTATCTTATTCTACCCCAGTTTGGAGTTCTTTCTCTGTTAAATGAATCTCTGTGTGAAATAATATTTAATTTATAGGGTGATAGAAAACTGTCAATTTGGCCACTCACCTGGCAGTTTCTAGCTTTTTCTGTGTGTGTGTGGTTTTCTCCTTGGCTTTGATGTACAACGGTCTCTTCTTGTTTAGTTCCACTTCCTGTGAAGCAGTAATGTGTCATATGTAATAAATTGTATAAGTATGTTACAATTGATACATGCCAACTATATGGCTATAAGATTCATACACTGTGGTAAAATTTTAACAAATAAAAAGGAATTTTACAATTTAATAAAAATGCCATTTAGTCTTCTAATTTTTTATAATCATCTATTATTTTTTCAGTGAATTAAATAATCACTAACTGTCTCTCTCATGTCTTTCTCAATTGCTGCCAGTTCCCTTTGAAGTTGCCCAAGTTCCTTCTTCTTCCCTTTCATCTGTTCTTCAACCGTCTCCCGTTTGCGGGTAGCCCGGTCTGAGTCTCTGGACTTGTCCTTGAGGTCGTCTTGGTATCGATCAATATCTTGTTCATTGTGATAAAGTTTAAACAGCTGATACTCCTTCTGGCGTTCAACCTAAAGTCAGACATGATATAAATATGATAATAATAATAATCATAAAAACTTGTAATGCGCCAAACCAAAAAAAAAAAAGATCAAAGACGCAGTGTAAGCTGCAACAAGTTGTTAAAGGGTGTGTCTTAAACACAGACTTAAATGTAATGAGAGTGGTAAATGACCTAATGGACGAAGGCAGGTCATTCCAAAAATAACAGGCAGCAAATGTAAAAGACTATAATGTTCTAGTGTTAAATTTTGAAAGTGTGAGAATGTTTTGCAGGAAAAACTGACTAAAAAAGGATGATGATGATGATGAATATAAAGAAATTTAAGATTTTAACATTTTTATTACCAAATCTTCCTTGAGCTTCTTGTATCTGTCTGCTTCATCTTTCTCTAACTTGGCCTCCTTTCGTTCGGCAGCTATACCTTTCTTTTTGTGATAGTTGAACTGGGTGTCTTCTTCTGCTTTCAGCATCCCAGCCTTCCTTTTCTCATACTCTTCCTTCAATTCACCAGAGTTACTGATCTCCTCAAATAGAGCTGTTCTTTCTTTAGGATTTTTCATAGCAATCGACTCCACAGCTCCCTGAAAATAGACCAGATTCACCCTAAATAACACTTTTAACATTGTTTTATTAATTTTACTCTATCAGCTACAAAAATAAATATGGAAGTGCAAATGAAGCTTTGGAATCTTAAAGGGGCAGTGCTAAATACATAAATATTTGCCTAGGTTTTATATCTGAAAGAGGAAACATGTGCCTTTTAATCAATGCTTGTATATAAATGAAGTTTCATTATTATCATACATTATCGATATTACTTCATATCATGTACTAGCAAATTCAGTGAAGGTTCAAATCTCCGACTTCAAGGTTGAAATCCTGAGAGCAATTGCTGCTCCAACCGCTCTCACAAAGTTCTAATTCTTGTCCATTTAGTTGGCGCAAAATCAAAGCAGCTCCAAAAACATAGAATCTTACCTGAAACACCAGGAAGTTCTTGGCTTTGATCAAAATGCCCAACTTCTCAAGTTCTTGGGTGTAGGCCTGCATAGTCACCACTTTGTTGTTGATTCTGTATTCACTAGAGGCTCCCATTATGCTGTAAACAAATTATTATCATGATGAATAATTAACATTTTTTAAAGTATAAACATCAATGAGTCAACCCATAAATTCAACTCAAACTCAGTTTCATCTCATTTCTTTTATGTATTTTTAAAAAGGCGAAAAAATTAAAATCACAAATAACAGTCACAAAAAAAATGCAATATAATTTGAAACATTAAAATTCACCATAATAAAAGTATGATTTAAATTTGTTAAAAATAATCTCAAGAATGCAAGTAATGACAATATCTTAATCCATTATACATTGCAGCAAAAGCATAGTTAAGTCCTCAGTATTTAACTTTCATCATGGTTCAGAAGATGTTGGAAAAATTAAATCAGACCTTCAAAAAATTCTTGAGAGGAGTTATTATTTTCATCATCATAGTCAACTGTTTCCAGTCCACCGCAGGACAAAAGCCTTAACATTTTGCCTCCAAAACAAGAAGATCTAAACTCTCCTATGAGGCTCTAAAAAATTAGCTTTTGTTTAATTGAAATTTCAACTCACATCCTAGTGAACCTAATCTCAGTATCATCTTCCTCAGCATAAACAGCTGTCACAGTAGCACGGTTTGATGCTGGTTGGTTGATTGGTGCACCGTGTATTAGATCCGATAATTTCTTCACACGAAGGTTTGATGTCTTCTCACCTAACACAAAACTGATGGCATCCATCAAATTGGATTTTCCTGTGAAAAAATATAAAGTGCATTAAGCATCGCTTAAGACAGGAGTAAAAAATATGAAGTGCACTAAGCATCGCTTAAGACAGGAGTACTATAAAGTGCATTCATTAGTCCCAATAGCACCTACTGTAGTCTAGTGTATTTTTTCCTTCATACGCATATGGTAGGTTTCAAGTTACAAATCGTGACATCACACTTCCTTGATTTGGTCACTTGTTGAACGGTGGGCCTGGACTATCTTGTCAGGGCACTGAGTTGTTTAAAAAAATTGTTATACAGTCTGTTTCTGACAGTAATAATTCAATATGCAGATAAAGGTCAAAGAAGGGTCACACACTTGCTTTGTTTTCATCCATCATTTATTTACACTGCAGATGACGTCTGAAATTTATACAATACTTGAATAATTTTTAAAATTTTTTTAGCAGCTGAGAAAATATCACTTTCGAAAAGCTATTAACCTTATGTTCCATAGATAAGAAATTAAAATTGACTGACAAGTGTTTTATGAGCTACTGTATTCACTGACCGTAGTGTAAAGCTTTTTACTTAATTGCATGGATGATACTTAAAAAACCTATTTGAATTTGTGTGGAAAATCTTTAGGAAATAGGGATGCAGAATTGCAACTACTGTATAATACAATTAGTTATTGGTTATAGGTTAGATTACATCAAAGCCTAATTTTCAGCAAAATCTTCGAGTTAAATTGCTTGATTTTTATTGTTTTAATCATTTGATATCTGGACTGTAAGAGTTTATTAATATCTTTAAATTTATATATTTATTATAATTATTATGTTACTTTGGGAGTACTCTGTGATTTAGTCCACTTTTTGGTTCCTGCCTACTCCCTGAGTTGACTGTATGTGTGCAGCTTTCCAGAATACCTCCCTGATTAAAAATAATATCAACTGTCTTTTCTTACTTTATCTCAATCTGTGTGTGTGTGTGTGTGTGTGTGTGTGTGCGTGTATGTGTGTTGTTTTTGTATTGTTTTTGGCAATAAAGAATAAGAATAAGAAATCGGCACTTATTTTACGAAATGCATGGACGGATTTCTAAGCCGAAGTTTTGCGGGGAGGATTATTAGGCCTAGCCTAAGCTCCTAGGCTATTCCCTGCATAGGCCTAGGAGGAGCCTGGGTCTGGTCTAGCCTATATTTTATAGGCATATAATGTGTAGCCTAGGCCTAGCCTAGTATTTCTACATTTAATAGATCTAGGCCCAGGGGCCTAGCCTATATTTACCGTCTGCAGGCTAACCTAATGGCGTAGGCTTTGCATGCTGCCCTCGCCTGGACAGGCAGGCAGTGATGCAGTGAGTGGTGGCTGGTAAGTTCCTAGGAGGCCTAGGCTAGGCCTAGCCTAATTAATTTTTAAACTCCAACATCAAAAAGTACATTTAGGGCCTAATATTTTTCACTTTTTATTAGCACAATACTAGCCTATTAGACCTATCTAAGTCTTCACTATCACTAAATTGTGTTAAAAGTCTGTTCGATATGAATCAATGCAGGCCTATTTTACCAGCTTACAGGCCTAGCCTAGGCCCTACTCTACTGGCTTAACGTACCTGCTCCATTGGGTCCGATGATGGCAGTGAATGGCTTGAATGGACCAATTGTCTGCTTACCGCGATAGGACTTGAAGTTGTCCAATTCAAGTAGTTTAAGAAAACCCATTTTGCGTTTTTTGATTCAGGAATAACAAAACACACTATTTAGAGTATTTCCTGTGTCCAATATACAGTGCAATTGCACTTAATTAATGATAAAATGCACTTTAATATTGACGAAACTTCCGAACATCCAACATGGCGGGAAAAACAAAGCCATCTTCTTAAACAGCGCCTCCACAAAACAAACTTAGATTTCTAACATGGCAGCCTCCATGCTTTCACAAGTTGCTGAGTGAGTTGGAGTGTCTACCAATCTTAAAAGCTCTGACAAGCAACATTCGAATCCGAAGATGGAACAAAAACTAAAGGAAATTGTTAAAGAACCACTAAACGCAAACAACAGTGGTCTGGGTACGATACTTCTTCATAGATTACAATATTAATCTGGGAACTAGTAGTAGGCCGGCACTAGGCCCACGCATGGAAGCAAGGCCATTGGCATTCGACCCGCGACGGCCTGTCTCTTATACACATCTAGATGTGTATAAGAGACAGTATATATACATACATACTAAGAAATCTACTGCCCATAGAATTTAGAATATCAAAGCAAACTTACATCGCAGTAATCAGTGATTTTGGCCTGCAATTGATCGTAAAACACACAAGGTGCTAGCACGATTTTATTTGCCTCTCTTTAAATTTCTAAAATTTTATTCGCAAATAAATTTGTTTTTCCTTCCTCCACTCGGGTACTCTTCGCCGAGTAATTTTAAATTAAATGATTTTTTAAAAATTTATGTGCGCTAAGCAAAGTATTAAAAAAGTATAACCATAGGCCTATCAAAAACAAAAATATTTGTAAGGATAGAAATTTTTGCAATTATTCCCTTTCAGGATCTGACACAATTTGCTTTAGATTCAAGCTCTGATGATTCCAGCGATGAAGAAGATCCACAAATCACAGAGTATAATTTACAAACAACAGCATCAGTAGCCAATCAGAAACACAGACCAACCATTGAGGTACTGGCAGCAACTGATTCTCAACAAGCATCATGCACTCAGACAACAGAGGGTGTAACAAAGACAGACAGCACTGTCAAGTGATCTGATTTGTGGTTGTATGCATGTAAATAAGTGAATAGATAAACAAAAATTACGAAAGTTAATGTTTGCTATGTATGGTGATGTAGTTTTAAGACTCTCCCCCCCCCCCCCAAGTTTTAAACACAGATACGGGGGAAAAGTTTTTAAATATGTATCTCAAAAAACTGTTCCCAAGTTTTTGCACCATAGAAATATCAGCTGTACAATATATCAACATCTTTTTCTGCCAGAACCTGGCTTTAATGTCATGTAACCTTATCAATTAATCAACTGGGAACTGTTTTGTTGGTGTGTATAAAATTTAAGTACTGTATAGTACAGTATTTTATAAATGTCTGAATTAATCTAGGTTCCACTTTTTTGTATAGGTTTCTTGATTTTTTTATTGGATTAATGTAAATAATTGGGATACTACTGTAAATGCTCGAATAAGTGCCATGGCGCGTATCAACATTTGGAGGTTTCAGTGTGACACTTATTCGAGAGCGCTGCTGATAAAAAGTATTGGCGTGGCACTTTCCATGCCCTTTCCAGTGTTGCCTATCTCACATATCCTTGTAGTTTATCATATCATCAGTAGGCTTATCATAGGTACGTCATCGTAAATAAATGTTTATAAGGCTGTTTGTGTCTTCATTGCGTTATTTATTCATTTTAACACTGTATACATTGTATTTAAAACTGTTTCTGAAAGTGTTTTATTACACACAGTTTTTACAGTTTTTTTTTTACTGTTTCTAATAAGACAGCCTATATAATAATGATTCATGATGTTTTCCATTATTCTCGCTGATGGAGGCCACAGGAGTGGTAGAAATATCCGAGTTACTAATAAATCAATGTTCTTAAAGTCTACTATTGAAGCTGTTTAATTTTTTCTCTATACTGTCGGAACACACTCGGAACACGAATGATTTTAAAAACTGTATGATTTTAAATGCATTATTTATTATCAATACTACTAGCAAGCAATAATATGAAACCCATTAATATTTTGTGAAATAGAAATAGCGCACTCTGAACGTTCTACTTTGGACTGTTTTGAGAGGATAAAGTGAAAATACTATTAGTAAGCGCAACAATAATTATATAATAAATCAACAGTGTCGGATCCAGGAATTCGGAAGAGAGGTGAACCAGGGAGGGACTTTCACAGACTGAGGAACCACCCTCCTCAGCCCCACCATGGTTGGGGCTGAGTTAAGGAAATTTATGATTAGGGCATCTCTAGATGGCCGGAAATTACACTCTCACACTTAAATTTTCATATATTTTTCTTCTTTTTTTTTTTAAATAAGGGTAGTGGGGATGGGGGGCCCCTTGAATCCACCTCTGTATCCAAAATAGTCATAATCATGAAAAACCAGATCACATCCTAAAAACAAATGTATGGACCCTCGCCTTACCAGTCACTAAAACATGTGAGCCAGGTGCCGACTCTATGGATTTTATTGTCATACCCAGGGAGGAGTGCAGACCTTTTGAAAGGTGGAGGGGAAGACATTTTGTGAGTCGACACCCACCTCGTACCCACCATGATTGGAGCTGAGTTGAGAAAATTTGAGGAAATACAGTAGTACCTCTAGATGGCCAGAAATGACACTTAGTAAAATTCATCATCATCACATCACCATTAATCAAAATGAAGCGCCAAAAAAATTTTCATGATCTTTATCAGGGATTTTTTGGCAACCATAGCGATCTTATTAATTTGTGTGTGATATACCATAGATGACAAAGCTTAAAACAATGTCTTTTGATGTACTTTACATACTGTACTTCAAAACCGTGATTTCACAACCACCTCAGCCCCACCATGGTTGGGGCTGAGGTGAGAAAATTTAAGGAAATTACGTCTAGATGGCCGGAAATGACACTATAGTAAAATTTATAATCATCACATCACCATTACATAGTCAAAATGAAATGAAACACATTTCCCATGATTTTTTATCAGGGATCTACTTAATATCCAGGACAACTTAGGCCTAACTATAGCTTACTATATTCGCCATAATTCATCAAATATCCACCGGGGGACCTAGGCGGCCCCCGGCCCCCAGCCAAGTGAGACTCGATTCGCTCCACTACCCCACCTCCCCGTCGGGGCCTTTAGCCCCTTCGTCGGGCAGTCCTGGCGCCATCACTGCTATGAAATAACAATTAGACAATGCGGGGTGTAATTAGTTGTTCGTGAAAGTGTAGCCACTAGCAATTGAAAGCCAAGATCTCTGTTAAGTCCCTTAATGTGTGGCTTATACGGAGGATCCGTCATAACTACTCTGTGCAAAGTCTCCTTAGTTGATTTGTAGTCACTGCCTATGATAATGAAACGAAACTTTGAAAGTGAATACCTGGATGAATTAAAATGGTCACTTAATGGAAATCCCTTATTTTTATCTCTAATTGAGTCTGTATCTTAGTTTAGTGCCAGTCTCTCCAATATAATTACGCATGTTACATTTATTGCAATAAATCATATAAATCACATTGGAGTGGTCACAATCTAATCTGGGAGTACGTATATTGCAATCGGTCCCAAGTACAATGAATAAACTGTCTGTAGTGGTGATAACGGGGCGCGAAGTTGGCATTTAGGTTTCAAACATGGTGTGTTGACATACTCGTGGGTGGGTGAAGGTAATTTAGATGAAGTCAAAATGAATTTAAAATTAGGTGGCTGTGTCGTCTAGCAACGATGGGTGGATTGCAAAAAAAGGGGTTCAATTTTGGAATCCTGTTTTAGAGCATTATAATTGTTCTTAAGTGTATGAGCTAGAGATTGAATTTTAGGGCCACCTAAAAGAAACAGTATCCTAGAAATAGCACAGCAAATCACTGCGTGACCTTAAGGATGCCTTAACTAC